CTGAGCCACGCCAGTGACAGGGAGCCCCCAGGGCACAGAGCGTGAGTGCAAAGGCCCTGGAGGGATCCTGTCAGGGTGTCTAGGCCCAGCCAGGCCAGGAGGCCCCCTACTCCGGCCAAGGGATTCCTGGTGCGAACATGCATGAGGAAGAGGCCCAGCCGCCAGGGACAGACACAGGTGAGCCCTGTCAGTGGCCACTCCCTCCAGGCCAGCCTCCTCAGTGCTGCCCCGACGGGGGCCCCGGCCTTTTCCAAAGCTGTCTAGCCAGGTGCCAACCGAAGCTCCTCATCCTAGCACTTAGGGTCCCAGGGATCAGGTTACACGTTCCCTTTCCAGCCATTATCTGCTGCCTCTACCTTGTCGAAAACACAAGGTCACTGACGCCCCCCCGCAACCATGGGGTGGCTGTCCTCTAGGCAGGACCGTTCATGGGGAACCCTTCCCACTCCTACCTTGCATGCACCCATTTGGGCCCCACTAGCAATCCCCCTGCCCAGGGCCCCCATGAGATGCTGGGGCTGAGAGGGGTGGTCCAGTGGGCGGTGATCTGTGTGCACAGATGGTGACAACAGTGTGCATGGTGTGTTTGGGGGGATGTTTCTGTGCTGTGACAGCAGGAGGCACAAGGGCTCTGGGATCTGGGGCAGAAAGCTAGTCTGTGTCCAGGGCTTAGGGACACTCCCCAGAGGGGCTGACATCTTAGCTGGGACTGGGAAGACAGAAGGTTACCCGGTGGGGGAGAGTTAGAAGAGGAAGGGGACATTCCCGGCAGCAAGGACCATGCGTTGATGGTGTGACCCCCACGGGCACACTGGGTGGTCTGTAAGGCAAGGGCGTGGGGACGGCTTCCTCCTGAAGGTCTGAGGGCTGCTAGGAGCATGCTGGAGCCCAGAGGTGACAGCGTCCATTTGAGTTTTCAGTGGATCCCTCCAGGAACCCACATGGAAGCGGTGTGGGGCAGGGGCGATCCGAGGCAGTGAGCACACTCCCAGTTCAGGGAGCACGTTGGGGACTGAGGCCCGTGAGGGCGCTCAGGACACTTGGACACCAGGTGGAATTTGGGCAGAATTCGGACAGCATCAGGAGATCTCCTGGCCTCGCCCACTGCTGGGCCCTGGGACATACCTGCTGCTTCACTCTGGCTGTGCTGAGATGGGACTGCTGGTAGCTAGCCGCGGTGGCAGTGACGGCTGTGGTTCCCGATGCCTCATGGACTGAAATGGCCTGCAAACCTGAGTCCAGGAAGAGGGAAACTGATGCTGGATGTCTGCCCCATCGCCACCGCTGAAGCAACCCTCCCTCCTTCTGATCAGTAGTTTCAAATCTGAAAACCAATAACTGAGTCTGTTGAAATTGTGTGTAAGAGTCAACAGGCCCTGACCAAGGCTTCATGGAGCAGCTGAGATGAGTTGGGGGAAAGAGATATAACTTTTGGCTGTCGGGGATTTCGGATGCACCTGGGCATAAAGTAGCACAGGTGTTGGAGCTGGAAAGATCTGCTGCACACCCTGGCACTGGAGACTCCCCTGCTGTGGGGCCTGAGCCTCTATGTGCTACCTCACAAGGTGTGCGGACTGAAGAAGAGCAGTGAGCTCACAGTGCGCCCTACATTTTAGTTCTGGACGAAGGGGAGTCTCAGATAGCTGAGCTCCCGACGGGCACCAGCCTGCCCTGGCACACTTCTTGTCTGGCCACTGTGCACTGGTCTCTGTCCTCCTGCGCCAGGCCATCAGGCTCGCCACCCCGCTCACCGTGCAGCTTCTTTTGGCCACTCCCATCGTCCTGGGACACCAAACGCATGGGTGGGTCAAGCTCAATGCTGGCCAGCAGCGGCCTGGTGGACTCCCAGTGGATGCTCAGAGAGCTGAAGTTGTCAAATCGGCGGCCCTGCTGGTCATAGGCAGCCAGGTCCAGCAGGGGGTCGCGGTGGCTGGAGACTGGCACCTGCAAGAAGCAAAAGTGAGATGCCTTGGTCACACCCAGGACCGGTCACAGCCACCGCTGACCACACAGTGCGCGCGGAAGCCGGCGGCTGCCCTGCGGGCTCACGGGGGTGCCGAGGAGGTGAAATGAATAACCAACCCCACCACCGCCGACCATCAAGTGCCCCGTCCAGCCCTGCCCAAGCTGGCCTCTGCGTCTAGACCACAGTTCCTGATGGCGGATGAGAACCTCCCTTCCCCACCAGGGGCTCCTTCAGCAACACTGGGAGGCATTTCTGGCTGTCACTACTGAGAGGGGTGTTGCCACTGTCACCTAGCGGGTAGAGGGCAGTGACACTGCTGACCACCCTACGATACTTAGGGCAGACCCACAAGAACTATCCGGCCCCAATCAAGCCTCATTGTTTCTGGGGTCTGTCCCTTCCCTCTCCAACCACACGGCATGGGGGCAGGGCGGGGAGGGGAGCAAAGCTGATCCCACAGCCCGGGCTGAACCCCAGCCCCACCTCTTACCACCCAGGCAAGTTACGAACATCCCAAAGCCTTAGTTTTCCCAGCTGTGATGTGGGAAGCACAATAGAAACCACCTGCTAGGACACTGTTTTTTTTTTTTTT